TTTAGATACTTAGTCGTCCTTTGATATTTTGATACTGTATACATTAGAAAATGTTATAAGTCTTCTGGAAAATTAAAAGTATTGTAGGCTTTATCACCGGTTGGCCATTTGTGCACTAGTAGAATACCTGACTTAAACTGGGTTCATATTCTTAAGATCTGATAAGTCTAAATTGTTCTCCTTGTTGGTTGCACATATTGAAAGCTCTGTTAGGTCTGTTTCATTAAAATTGTTTAAACATTTTATTTTGTGAATTCAATCATTTTTCATTGAAGAAAACAAACGCGGATCATTTTATTTGTTTATAAAAAGTCAAGATTTATCAAGTTGAACTGATCTATAACGGTATGTTATAGATAATTTTGACCTGATTAAGTCTTATAGCCGTTTAACGTATAATAGTTCTAATCTATACGGGGTTCAGCATAACGTATTATGAACCCGAAGAAGTTATTTGTTAAATCAAGCAGTAAAAAGAATTTTAAAATATATTTTTTTTACAATGTGCATATTTTCTTTCCATCTTTGGAATCTTTTGTAGTTCAAATTTGGAATCAAATTTCTATCATATCAAATATACCAATGGTTGCAAGGAACACGTAGCTGGACCCTCGATGAAATGATATCACATTTGAGATATTCGTGGATTTTAACAGAACCAAAGGTACTTTGCTTGATATTATTATTTGGCTCTTGTTTTATAAGCAAACAACGTTAAAACTTCATCTCAATGTTATACCTTTTTAAACTGATATACATGTATGATATTGTGGCTCGAATAAAAGCAACCTCAATTGACAATGTTTTCTTGGGATGACAAATTTCAATGTTGCAATATTGATATATCAGATACATATACCACGTATATATGTACATTATGCTTATTTCTCGATTATGTATTTTCTTTTTTAATGTAGGGCCTTGAAGTTTGGAAAAAGGAAAGTGTAAACAATTTATTTCAAACACAGGTTTGTTATTCAAAATAAATCAAATAGGTTAGGCCATTTTTTTATTGTTTGAAATGTAACCATTGAAAAGAATAACTTGTTTTGAGAATCGAGACGCTACCCACGGTTTATGGGTTTAATTTTACAGAAGCAGATGGCACAAGCAGACTACTGGTTTGCATGGCAACGAATGAACGGAGTGACAAGAAATCTTATTAGACTTGAAAACAAAGTTCCAAAGGAGTAAGTAATCAAAACTACAATTTGAATTCTACGGAATATATATACTGCCTATATCGTCAGACATTACATTTTCAAACAATATCTATTTAAGTAATCACTGTTCAGTTAGTATAGTATGCCAGGACACCAACGATAGTGGGAAACATGGGATAATTTGCATAACGGGCATACTGGACGAACTAGAAAGTGATTCCTTATATTTCCATTGCATTGTGAAATAAAATTATATAATTGTAGATTTAGACTTTTAAAAATCAGGCATAGATTTTAATTACTCGAGGACTTCCATGCCAGTTTCAATAGTCCTGGCCCACTGACAAACACTAAGACAGCTGCACGAGATTACATGCATATTTGGCTTCCATAGCTTCAGACACAGAGACTGATGTGCACGAGATTTGCATGCATATTAGGCCTCCTTAGCTCCTGACCTACTGTAAATCACTTTTTATTCGCGAGAACTTTATTTTCGCGTAATTACGCGAGACAGTGTGCTCGCGAAAATTTAATTCTCGCGTATAAAAGTATTCCTTAAGAATATATAGAGCAATAAGCACAATTCGCGAAAATTTTGTCTCGCTAATCAAGAGTCAATGACTATTTCGCGAAAATAAAGTGTCGCGAAAATTAAGTGATCTACAGTATCGACATGCCTAATTTACATTCTGGCAGAATTATCAAGAAATCAACTCCGCTAACTTTCAAAGGGTTATCATAGAAAAAAAAGAAATATTATATTTTAGATTCTCTATCTATTATCATATAGAGATCTACAACCAACAATGGAAATAATGTATTTTTTCAAATGGTAATAATTTGGAAAATATTTTTTTTCTTCAGCTTATAGTTGCATTAATCTAAAAATTTTATAATTTTTAAAAAAAATTCAGTTACATTTTCATATCAAAATAAAGTTATAATTATGATTATCGTATTCTATAAAAAAAAATTGGTTTAAAACTTTTTTTGAAAAAGGTTTTTGCCATTTGAAAGTGAAATTGGTACTGCACATCCTTATCTTGGAGAGAAAACACTCCACGATGTTGCGGAGGAAAACAATCTTTACATCGTCGATTTAAGTGATGTGGCTCTAAGTCAAGAAAACGTAAGAATTTTATTCGATACCTTCATATGTTCTATAATTTTATATTTTTGTTTGGATTAATGAAATTATCTGTCAGTTCTTTTATTTAGTGGCTTCGTCCAGTCGCCCTGTTTTCCATTTATAATGGCAAATTAATGCCAATAGCCATTCATGCAAAATTAGAAGACAACAGAGAGGTATAACCGAATTTAAATTAATTTTAATTGATACATATTATTTGTAATTTTATGGTAGAAATTTTTAGGCTACATTTTTACCGTTTGAAATGTACTCGTATGAATTCAAAGACATCAAAAGATCTTTATTCTGCTTCTGGATTTGTAAATGATGTGTCAAGATGAAATATTAAATAATAATATTTTTTAAACAATACATACAAGAAACGTACAAAAAGATACTCCACGAAAAAAAAATGATTTAGTTGCATTTGAATAAATATTCGAAAAAAAAAAATGATTTAGTTGCATTTGAATATATATTCACTTCCTTTTTTTATTATGTATCAGAGCTATTTTTGACCATAAATACTTGACATACATAGTTTAAATTGAAAATTCTTAAAATTAGATTTGGAAGTTTTTTAATACAGATATTTCTACCCCCACCATTCAAAGCAGATCACGTTCGTCACCAACGATGGGTAAAGGCGAAAATGTGGTTCAACATGCTGGACGCTCAATATCATGAATCTATTACACATTTGGGTAAGAAGAAGTAACACTCTACATATACGTAGAAGGCTGACTAATTTAGAATTTAAAGAAAAACCTTTTTGTGTTTTCTGTGTACTAAACATCGGAAGAACTAAACATATTGCTTTCTCTTGTTTCTCATCTCATGTGTGTCTCTCATCGGGCTTTTAAAATGGAAAGAACGAACAACATTATAGCTCAAAATCTGCCAAGCAATGCAAATCAGGAGCAGAGGAAACAGGGGCCTCTATAAAACTTCATAGATGGGATCAGGTGCCACGGAAAAGTGTTTTGATATCAGTAGATATCATTTGTATTCACCTTACTTTTGATTTTCATGGCATCAAAATCGATATATGGTAGACCTCTAACTTTAAAACACATTATTCATTTCCATCTGAAATTGATGATTTTCAGCGTCTTTAAAAGATATATTGAAGAATTTATATGAAAAGTTATCCAAAATACAGGGAAGACATTTATTCTTAAGATAAACTATCATAAATATTTAAATTTTCATATGTGTTTAGGCTTTACCCACTTGCTGATGGATGGGGTCAGCGTTTGCCTTCACAGGAATGTTTCAGAGAGGCATCCAGTTTACAAACTGATGGTTCCCCATTTCCGACATATGCATGCTATAAATCAGTAAGTTTAAAAAAAAATATGATAATGAGCCAACTTTCGGAAAAAATTTAACTATTGATCTAATTTATAAATTTTGGCTCGGATAATCACATACCTACATGTACTTAAACCTCTCTATGATATAAGAATTGGGTTACATTTAATGAAACATATGGAGATAATGCACATTATTCAAAGGTCAATCAAACAATGCAAAATAGGATTGGACTAAACAACTGTCGTGTGCTCCTTTTTTATGATCGGGAAATAACAGGAAAATCCATCGTCAATTCAGTGTATAATGGACTAAAAATTTGTATGAAAAACCACAGTCAGCATTTGACTCAATGAGAAGTTATATTTGCTGTCAAGGTCATTGTATCGACCATAGAACGTACAAAAAACTACCTTTAAACGAGACTGCTGATATTTTTGTTTCATCAACGCGTTTGTCAATAATTCACTTCGTTTTAGAAATTGTTCATACGTAGAGCATGCTCTTGCGTATCGAATCAACTGAGATATATACACTCCGTATGCAGGTGATAAAGGTAAATGTCTGCATAAGTAAGGGAAGTTGACATTTGTAAAATTAAGTCATCATGTTTATCATAGAGCATTGCTTAAACGTTTCAATACAGGACCGTGTTCTGCTCTCCAAAATGCGCAGGTCAGGATGTGATAAATGGGTCTCATTTTTTCTTTTTGATAAGATTAGCCAGTTTAATTTGCCTTAAAGCTTGGAAATATGCTTTGAAAGTGACGAAAATTTAATTTCAGAATGAGATTTTGCAACCTTCAGATTAAATTCAAGTGTATTTAACTTAAATGATACCAATTAATTACAAATGCAAAAGCATTGCTATCTCAATTACAAAATTCTATTTCAGTCTTGCTACCTTAACTCTGCTGGCCAAGGATGGGTTTGTCGATAAAGACATGTCCTATGGAAGGAAAAACATGCTCAATTTGATTGGAAGACAGTAAGAGCACATTTCAAACAGATTTCTAAGGAAATTGTAAAAGGCTATAGAAAATAAACGTTTTATGCAAAACATCTCGCTAAACACCTATAAAATTTCAAGATATATTTTCGATTTTCACCTAAATTATCATGCACTTAATTCAATCTCAATTGTGCAATAATCGATTATAAATTAATTTAATTCAATGTTGTCATTTTAAGCAATGAAAAGTGGCACCTGAACAAACAGGGATCTTTAGAATGTGACTTGGAAAGCAGAGGAGTAAAGGTTTTGTAAATTTTGTTGAGACTTTTTTTTCCCATATCAGATTTCAGTGTAATTCGGATAAAATTCAATTGTTTAAAAGAGAGTATTTTGTTAATCTATAGTTGAATTTGTTGTATGTGATTTAACATTTCAGATGAAACTTTTTATAAAAGTTAATATACAAATGATTTCTTTCGTTCTTGAATTCTAAGATAAGATTTCTGCGTATCATTATTATCATTAATTATTTTATTAATTTTTTTTTTTGGTTATTTGGTAATTTAATCTATCATTTATTTATGTTTAGATATTGATGTTTACAAATGTTTTTAATGACAGAATCTTCCTGGATACTTTTTCAAAGAAGATGCACTGAAAATCCATGGTGCAATTCGAGATTATGTATCTGATTATATCAAACGTTACTATGGTATGTCAATTCTTCCATATCATAGTTACAGAAAAAATCTACATTTTGACACAAAAAATAAGTTATATATATATTTTATGATTTATAAAATATTTGGTTTAAAGGGGTCTGTGTTTGGTCTGCTCAAGATTTGTATACCTTGGACTTGGTCAAGATTTTAATTATACAATTACATCACTTACAATAAGTCGAATCCTTCGACCAAGGAAATTAAAATCCAAATAATGTTTTGGCAATTGGAAATCGGCATAACTAATTTCCTGACTATGTTTTTATGATAAACATGAATATGATATCATACGTAAAGTTATCAAGTCAAGAGAGAAGGATGCTTTACATTCCGCTCTTAATTCTAAAACTCAATGGATTTTATTCATATACCTCCTTCCCTCAGGCAAGACGATGATACTGCTTATGAGACAATCGTCGCTTTTTATGTGGCAATTTGTTAATACTCTATACAGTGTTAATATCGCCCCGTGCTATTTTCGCCCTTTTACACTTGCTTACAGATTTGCCCTGTTTTAAATTTTCCTATTCCCATTTCTGTCTAAGAATCTATACTGTGTTCTTTGAATTCTGCCCGTTTTCAATTCGCCCAAATATGACAAGGGCGAAAGGGCGAAAATAAAACGGGAGCGAAAATATTGAATTATTTATATGAAAGTACATACGTGTATATCAATATGTAGTGTAAATTAAAATTTGTTGAAATATTTCCGGGGGAAGGGGGGGGGGGGGTTCACCATGAAAAAATTATTCGAGGAACAATCAAGCCTTGTGGACAACGACTAAGAGTGAAATATAAAGGTATAATCATAATGATCATTAAAGTCCTCATAGTCTTCAAAGTCCGGGTATTGCTGTCAACATGAAACACCATTATTGTTTATTAATACTATATATTTTGATATCAAATACATTAAACAAGCTTCAAATTGTGCAGTATTTATTTTTTAAGTTTGTTTTTCAGTGATAAGTTAATAACCTGTTAAAATTTGTTTTCTTTTGTTATTTACAATTGATACCTATATATAGCATATATTTTTATTAAGTTAATAACGATGCACTTAAAAGTGACAAGGAAATGTTGGCATTCAGAGAACAGCTGATTACCCCAAGATCACTCGATGGAAATGGAGGCTGTGGAATGCAGGTAATATTTCAAGTATGCGTATCAAAACAAAAAAGAGCTAGAACATCACCCGCTGACCAGTCTCATTCGCCTCGTGCTCCTTGTCATGATCGGGAAAGCTTTTCTTATATTGCGATAAAAAGGAATAAAATGCACGCCTTTGAAGCCTTCTTAACGTTTTCAGTATTTCTTCTGAACATTTGGTTGAAAAAAATCACCCCTGCTCGTGATCCTTCATTTTAACATTATCTTGAGCTTTTTTTCTATTGCTGAAAAATTGTTTCTCTTTTATTCTTACAGTGCATAAAAAACAAATATTAAATTCCATTTTTTATAGTTTAACATTCTGTCATTTAAACAAATTTCGATATGAATTTGAATGCTGTTATATACATTTGGCACTGCCTGATGTCAAAATTTGGAGACATATTTTTTTGCAAATGCTTATTATATTTTAGTACATTTAATGGATATTAATATGATGTTTTAACTTTTAACCAGCAAAAGAGTAAAGGTAAAAATATTAATGAATTTCATTATATAATGTAGATTAAAAAAAACTTTATGAATATGAATTATTTTCAAAAGAATATAATTTGAAATGAGTACATACAAATCTCCATGTATTAAACGCTGAGTTATTTGTAATATTAATGGTTTAAAATATTTATATGAATTCGATCATTTTTCTTTATTTTTACCCTTTTCATTTATATTTTTGGAAGGAATGAATAATCTTTTAATTATACATGTAATTAAGAAAAACATCCTTGTGATAAAATGAACGAGAGATAGGTATTTTTCTATCATTTTCGTACCCTTTGTGTCATAAATAATTATGTGACCTTTCCGCACTTTGACAAAATTAAACGTAATTAAGCATTGAAGGGCATATATGAATATAAAACGATTCTGCAGAAAAATATTTGGATTTGATTTATAAAAATTAACACTGATTTCATCTTTTCTTCTTGATTCCACCCCACCCCACCTTTCCTCGTCAAGAACCAGAACTGCTTTACAACTAAATCTACTAAGCAATAGGCAAATATAAGTACAAGTATATTTATTCCCCTTTACATCAAACCTTAGCCACAATAGTAAATTTTTAGCAATTAGTTCTGCACATTCTATACAGTGGTTGACGTATTACATGTAACCTTAAATAACGAACAATATTCAATCTTAATGTCTATAAAACAATTCAAAATAGGAGCAGAGCAAACACGGACCTCCGAAACATCAGAGCTGGGATCAGGTGCCATGGAGTAGTGAGCATCTCCTGCTGACCGTTCACACCCGCTGTGTGCTCCTTGTCATGATCAGGAAATAACAATTCAGTGTATAGATAATGGACTAACAATTGCTATGAAAATGTCAGTCAGCATTTGACAAAATAATAATACTTTAACGTATCCTAACGTATACTTTAAAGGAAAAAAATACATTCCTAATTCCTACTTCCAAAGAGGACTAAAGTGCAACTAGTGAAATGTATAATAATATCATTTTATATATATATTAAGACAATTAGTGTGATTATTGGTTATCTTGCAAAATGTATAAATAGTATTATCTCCACATGCTTCTGTACTTACAACGGATTGAAGCCTAAAAAACCACTTAAAATATGTTTTATTTAAGGTCATTGATCTAAAAACAATGAAAATATGTTAAGACCAAGATCTAGTTAATGCCTTTAGACTAACTCTTCGGTGCTTAATCTATTATGACTATTTATCCCGGACTTTATCGTTCTAATAGAATTATGCTGAAAATAATCTGTTTTAATGGAATTCAATTTGAAATTACATGAAAAGTAGTCCCAATATCTATATTTAATTTAACATTATTTGAAAGAAGAGACCGAGAACATACAAATTACCGTTTTTTTAAAGACTATAGGCAATCTGGATACATTTTCTTTGTCTGATACGGAAAAAACTCCAAATTATTTTCTTAACTGTTCATTGGACATGGCAGTCTACAATATGATTTTCGTTATCTTGTTTACCAACAAATTATCCTCCTAAACACCATATTTGACTAGGTTAAGTTGTAAAGCATCATTTACGGAATTTATTTCTTACATTTGATATATCTGTAGGCACCTCTCATATACTAGACCTTGACCTTAAGAGGGAATGAAATAAAGCAAAATATATGAAGAAAAGTTATACCAACTGCAGGGGCACTCAAGCTTCTCTCAAAAAAATGTTTGAAGATCTCGATATGGTTCCTGTTGAAAAACACAGGCGTCGGTGTCTCCGAAATAGTAAACATGCATGGTATTAATTGGGGACGATAATTTAAGAAGAGTTTTATCTACCAGTTACCAGTAGAATTGACAAAAAGTGACCAACTATGTAGAGTTTATCTTGTACGTATTTTAAAGCTCCATAGATAGAGCAATGTTGCGATTCCGTATTGCTCATAGTTTCAATCACACGATTGGAGTATACCTTGTATGTTTTCATTGATTCAATCAGTCAATTCTACTGTAAAAATCGAATTATATCTTAAGCTTTTGTAATTTAATTTAGGGTGTTCCTGATTTCGACTCCATTGAAAATCTTTCTGCAACCTTGACCAGTTTCATCTTTATATGCAGTGTTGAACATTCTGCTACAAATTTTCCACAGTATGATCAGTATGGTTTTGCGCCAAATTATGCTGCGAAATTAAATGGATTTCCAGAGGAACAATCTGTAAATACCAATCTTTTAAATGAAATTAAAAAAAAAGATGAGATGAAATGACGCTTTTTCATCCTTCTCGAGTTTCCTTGCATGACTCATATTTTATTTAAATTAAAGGCATTTCATTTTCTTTATTTTAGGGATCTAACGAGCTAAATGCCGCTTTGCCTACAAGAAGGGAATTTTTTTCAACTGTTAAAATCATGAAAGTTCTTACAACTGTCTTAACAAACAACCTAGGGCACTATGAAAAAGAATACATGCAGGCAATGGACGCGGAAGGAAGGGCGGCTGTTGAGAAGTATGTTCAATTCGTTTGTTTTGTGTGTTTTCTCTATGACCGAGAAATGCATATACTGATTTTTTTAGTCCGTTATTAATATTTTTTAAAACTTAATATTTCTATTTTTTCTTCTGTCGATTGAAAAAGTCAACAGTTTTAGTTATATTTTTTAAATTAACAATACGATACGATAAACTGTACGAAAAATATTTTTAAGGGTTTTTTCCAAGTGAACGAATTTTGGAATAAATGTGAAGATTTTATACTAAATTGAATTTAAAAGTCACGAATCTAAATTCCTTTAGCGCAAAACAATATGAGAAAATATCATATGGAAATTGAATTTGTACACGTTTATTTGTCTTGATAAGAAAACCATTTTAGAGCAAAGTATATTTATCAATTTGGTAGAGTATCTGCTAACTTTCACCAAGAATGTAATATTACGCTTTTTTCCCCTAAAAATTTTAAGAGATATCTTTGATGCAAAAACAGATACTAGAAGGGAAAACGGGAGATGCATTTAGATTATTGAATAAACTAAATCCGCTCAATACTTATTATCAGAATTATATTGTTTTGTAGAGTTTTGTCAAATAGTTTTCCATTCGTCGATTTATAACATTTTCATATAGTATCTACTCAATTCCATGATATTGTGACTGTTTAAACAGCAATTCTTTAACTGTTTGATTTTAAGTGACTTTAAAGGGTCTATATAAACTACATTACTTGATTGCTTTTTATCTAGCTTTTAAATTTAAAAATGTAAAATAACAATGATTTTTTTTTCGAATAAGTCCCGATTATCATTGAAGGTTCCAGAAGGCTCTTCAGAAAATATCTAAGGACATCGATAAGAGAAATGAACTGATCAGACAGGAAAATGCCAAACCCGATTGTCAAGTCCAAGATTACACTTACACATGGCTCCATCCGGACAAAGTCCTCAATTCTATCAGCATCTGAATCTGAGCAGTTGTTTTTCAAATTGGACACTCTGTACAAGCCAATACGTGTTATTGTGATGCACGGTACTTCCGAATAAAAATACTTAAATATGGTTTAGAATTGGAGAGTTTACTTAAATTAACCATAGTTTTAAAAAGTGTTTACTGTAGTAAATCAGAGTACTTTATCTATTAAATTCAAATGATTGCAACCCATTATTCTCAATTCTCAAACACGATTTTCATAAAATAATCAAGGGAAATATTATTTCCTTATTTTAAATTAAAAAAAAATAATGAATAATCATTTTAAAATGGATATTTAAAACTGTAAATGCTTCAAGTTATATAAAAAAATTAGACATGTAAAGGTTCATAGTTACTCAGAGAGGTAAATACAGTATAACAAAAAATACAGTTTTTTTTTGTTAGAGGATAGATGTAAACAGATAAAATACAAATTGACATTGTGCCTTCAAATCAACCATCAAATCAATTTACCTTTTTTTCTTAAATTGCTGTCGTAATAAGAATATCGAAAACATTTTGATAAAGTGGATTTATATTCATTATTCGTCATATACTCGAAAAAGTTTAACTTTTGCTGAACAAGCAATTAATTATGTTTAAAAGATTTGTATGGCTTTCAAAAAAGTTTAATTTAAAAAAAATCTTTTAAGACCACATAGTTGTACATTAAATTTCATATACTTTTTAAAATTATTTTGATTTTTTTGTATTCTGCTGAAGAGTCTCAGTCTTTTCTTTATAACACACTTCTGAATCCATCTGGCTTATTTTAGCAGTTTTAATTGTTTTCTATTTAGGATAAAATTTCATATTGTTAGATTTGTGAAGCAAAAAAATACTCTTATTTTATTATCTTCGTAGGTAAAAAAGAAAAAGAAATTGTCTAATATTGAATGCTACATTTTACTTTCATTTGATTAATATGTTTAATGAGTTATCTTACATTGTAACTACAGTGTTGTACAATGAATTATACTTTACACTAAATGTGTGTTGTTGTTTTTTTTAATTTTCGGTGCAAAAACTGGTTGAAACTTGGAAAGATATTTTAAATTCTTTTACACTTTAATATTTTTTCAAGGGTGAATGCTCTTATATTTGTGTAAGTTATTTGACAAAATCATTTGAATGGTCCTTATATAAGATAAAGCTTTTAAATGCTGAAACGTAATAGATCTAAACTCTAAACTATTGTTTGGAAAAAATGTCAGTTATGTGTTTTAAAATCTTATTCCTTGTCATTCTGGCAATCATTTATGTATAATACTCCTTATTACGATGCTCACTCCTCCATGGAACCTGATTCCACCTCTGGTGTTTTAGAACTCCGCGTTTGCTCTTCTTCTGTTTACAGACTTTTGATCTCTAATAGTGTTAGTTATCTCCAAATGTTTTCTTTTGTTGTCAGTGAGTAATCCAGTCTGAATTCAGTTCAGCGTATTTATTTGTGAACCAGAACAATTATTAATAAATAATTCTGTTGTTAAAAGAATGAAAAACAATTGCCATTTGCTATTGTTTGTTTCTGCTTACTCTGTGCTTTCTGGAAAGTGCTGCTAATTTAAATAGACACCGCATTTTATAAGTTATAATTTCAATTCAATAAGTTATTGTCGAAATATATTTGCATTATACCATGTATTTTGTGTACTTACAAAGTCTCGCTCTCGATGTAAAGAAAGCAACATCTCTTTTTCAAGCTTTTGAAATATCCTTTATTTATATACAAAATTTGCTTAGGATCTGTTAAGTGTATGCTTTTGCGAAAAGGCGATTAAATTAGGTATTTCGATGTTAAATATGTCAATCATGTGCACAAAAATACGGTAAAATTAATTAAAATATTCTGTAGATAATTATTGAACAATGGCACTAAACAAAGATTTCACATTGGTATTAATAGCTTATCTAAATTCTGTAAATAATATTCTGTATTTTTAAGTGTTAAAGAAATTACTTAATTTGCCTTTCACAGCACACAAGATATGTAATTATTACCAAAATGACGTCATGTTAACGAGTTTGTTGCGATAAGTGAAATGGTTATAACCTGTTGAGTGGGATTTAACTAGAAACTGTTCCTAATGCATGATATATTTTGTTGTTGTGTGTTCTGTTGATACCGTTTCAATTTGCAAAATTATTTCAGTGTCTGGTATTATGAGGAATATCTATTTCGAAGTAAACATTCCCTGTATAGATTAAGCCCATCCCCCTTTATGCAACCTTAGTTAATAATTCTGCGAAGCCCTATTTTTGATTGTTTTAGCTACACCCCTTTTAAATATCAATGATTCTTTGCTGAGTGAACATAAAACATCCCTGATCATCCCTTCTTTGATCTAGACTATTTCTGTTACTAAGCTTTCAATTGACAGATATATTTCATGCATTTGAGGATTTATGGAAATGAATTGCTTATGTCAGTGCTTTTAGGATGTTTATAAACGCCGAAGAAAACATTTTGACTGCATAAAATTACCATCCTTTTGCTATTCTTCTATAGTTTATTTTAAATCTCTAATGATCATTCTTTATGTTTTTCCATATGTTTCAGTCTGATGTTATGTTAAATACACGTAATCCCTTTAACTGGTTATAGAAAAGCATCAAATCAAAGCCACATATTAAGTAATCCACAAAAAAGTGAATCATCCGTTGATGCATTTAATGCATAGTGTAAACATATAGGGTTTGAGACAATTATTTTAGTCAATTAAAAATAAGCTAATTAAAATGTACTTATATAGAGTGCACTGACCTATAATCCAAAAGGGATATGAAAGTGTAATACTTTTCCGTACGAATAAACAAACTTGGTAATCGGATTAAGGACAGTGTAACCTACCAGGATGTTAATCTATCTTCGGACATCGATACAGGAACAGTAACGAACATTGCAAAAACTTACCGTAACATTATATTAACTTTTGCACAATGCAAGGACACTTAACTAAAGCTTATGTTTAAATTACAATTTATTTTATAAAGTTCTAGGATTTTGTCTAAATTTATTGTATAACTTGTTTACTTCAATCTGACTTGTTTGGTTCATATGTAAATGAGTATTATGAATTGTACATTATAGAAATGACAGTCTAACTTACCAAGCCCTCACATCTGGGCCGCATTTCTCAGAGCGGGACTCTTCGGAGCAACGTTCTAGGAGGGATCTCGAGATACTATACGAACACGAGCAATTTTACGATCGGTGTCCACTGTCTTCAACCACTAGTACTATACGATCATCATTTGTATTCAAAATAGAATTATACCAACTGACTCTTGATAAGAGACTAGAAAACAAAAAATGCTACACTTAGAATATATACTTCCTTTGCAAAAGTGTTTTGCGATAAATAGTAGGCAATTGACCGACTAGGAACATTATTTCTAAAAACAAAAATTGATTTCTATAAGCGAGTATCAGCGCTGTATGTCCAAAGTGTGATAATAACTTTTTTGCACCAAGCAACGCATTTGCACATGCCTTTGTATATTTATTGTTAAATGAACCCATTTGGAAAATACTTAATTTATGTTATATAATTTACAGGAGTCATCTATGATTAATAAATATACACATAAATATGTGACTATCATTTTTTAGATATGAATATCTGGCTCTCTTCATACCACAAAAGCAAGGAAACTTTAACAAATTATCAATTCTGTTTTAGCGGTCAATGCTTTGTAGATTCAATATTACATAGCATTGTATTCTGTTCCAGTAATTAAAGTAAGTTCATATTCCGGTTTACATGAATCCTTTACATGTATTACATATATCATCATATATATGTATCATATCAAGCAGCAATATCTAGAATCTATGAAATACATTAGAAGTTCTGTCCATTTGAATGAATAGTCCTTCAAGAACTTATTGAGTTTCGAACATTACAAGGAAGCAGATATTCGTAGGGGTATTCATGAATCTTGTGTACAGAATTCACAATGGAGCTATTCCTTTGATTTATGCTGTTTGTGACTGTTCTCAGGTTTCGCTGAAATCTGCAAAATGTGTCAAGAAATTTAAGTCAAAGAAGACAGTCTTACAAATATGCCAAGTTTCTTATTTTTTTTTACACTTCATACTTATTCAGTATAGACAATAAATGGCTAATGCTTTTGTATTTGTAATTGCAAAATAATGCCTTGTTCACACTGACAATTTAATTTGCAGTAAATTAATGCAAGGTAAACTAACGCGAATTATTAAAGTAATACGAATTTAATTGCGTTCACACAACAGCTTAATTATATTAAAGTAATGCGAATTAAAATTTTATTTCTACAAAAATGCTATTCAGTAAAGCTTTTATGGTATCATGTGTAAATTACGTCATGTGTGCAGAACCATCCATTTGATATAATAATCATAGTGGCTACAGGTATACAGTTAGTGATTAACACATGTTCCCTCTTTTGTACCAAATATAACACTGATACCGATATCTAACTACCAACAGGTGTCCTGTGACTTTATTCTGGCCTTACGCATCCTCAAAATTTAATTTTAATTAGCTTTTGTTAGCGTTCACACGGAGCTATTGCGAAGTAATTTAATGCGCAGTATACTTAATTGAATTTAACTAATTCGCATTAAATTCTCCGTGTGAACGCTATTTAAGAAATAAGTATCATTTTTAAATATATATCGAGATATAAAAAGGAGTTAGTCACGAGATTAAATTCCGTAAAGCCCGAAGGGCTTTATGATGAATTTAATCTTGTACCAACCCATATTTAAAGCCCGATAGATGTTTTAAATTGATACCTTATTACTTATATTTACATTTGTGACTTATTCATACTTTATATTTGCCTGATTGTGACTTTTAACGTGTGAAATGCATTGTTTTTCAAACCCAACGGCATGTATGTAATCCACTGATCGCGCGTCGACCCTTTTTGACGTCACCGAGAAATTATGTCGAACGTTTATCCATACACACATCTTTGACCTCTTGACCCCGTACCGGTATTTATAGATTTATAGTTACGCATTGCTTTCGGTAGTGTTATATAAAGGAAAACATTTGCAAATGTAAATATTCAAGTTGAATTCGCAGTAACTTACGTTTAATTCGAATTAAACTCTCCGTGTTAACAGGGCGTAATTTGATATGTATAGAATATGTAAACCTAATAGAATGAATTGAAAGTTTTGTGCTTCAGACTCATACATACTTTCGCACAATGTGTCTTCCAGCATCGTCCATTGCACACAAGTACTCAGACTCATAGTTGCCAAGGCTGTTAGTCCTAGTAGCAATCAGACCCGTCGTCAATTCTATTATGGAGGAAAATTCTGGCCCTGTAGGCATTGATGCGTCAAGGTCAGGTAAACCCTTACAAAAGTAAGATTTGGTCAAAATAATCTTTAACTCAAAAGTGTAAATAGGCCATGATTCACTTGTAGTTGCAGAATAATTTTATATGTTTAGTACCTCATAAACTAATAGAATAAAATTGAAAGCTTTATACTTTAAACTCACAAAATATATACATATGTATATCTAGACAAAATAATGTTCAATTCAAAAGTGTGATAAGGCAATGAATGAAATATATTTTTACGTTTTCTACGTCGGGTTGGCCATTCAAAATAACAGGCATGTTTGGGGGGAAGGCATATTGTGCATACTGTGGAAAGTTTGTTGCAGAATGCTCCACACTACAGATGTAGATAAAATTCGTCAACACCTTCACGACATTAGCTATTCCGTCAAACTCTGGTACACCCTAGGAAATTGAGTAATAAAATCTCCATTTAATAATTCTAACATTTTTGTTTTAAACAAGGATGGCTAAAACGATTTGAAGAGTATATTTCATGAGAGGCATTTTAAAATATACATGTATCCTGCAATCTTGATGTACATAAGCATGACTTCATTTATTTATAGGGTTTCTAGATGCGTACTTTAATAAAATTATACGTTCTGAATTTTTTTTTTCAAAATTTGTTTCTAAAAATGAACTAGATTTCTTTTCTAAAGTATATGTCGCTTAAAGTAGTAAAACGTGTGTCAAATAAAATTTGCTGCGAAATTCACATTGCCTAATGCAATGATTATTTTCTGTAGTCTATAAATACGAAAATGCCTAAATATTTTACAATTTACGTTTTTTGTTTACTAGTAAGATGTTTGTCAATCCAATCTATTCCAAAAATTTAAAATGTACAGAACGGTCAACAAAGTTAAAATGTTATTGATAGGTTGATTGTATATATATTGTTTAAAGTTCCATAGTTTTTTTACACATGTAGAGACGTCACTGTTGTCAGTAAAGGGCTGCAAATTTAGACCTATACTCGGCGCTTAGGGCCATTGAGCAGTGAGGATTCTTTATTGTGCCAACAACTACCTGACGTGGGACCTACGTGTTTAAGGTCATATCCGTAAGACCCGGGACGTTCACTTCTAATCCCGAGTGCTTGTCGAAGGACCTATGTTTACATCTCAGGTTTGACTCGGCGCCGCAAACGAGAATCGAACCCGGGCTTCCAGATTACGAAGCGAGCGCTCTACTAATAGACTGGGGTATCCGGTAGTTAAAATATAAGATTTATTTTGACGTGAACAATGTTGAATACCGCACAGTTGCAATATTATCAGCAAAGGTGAAAATACACCCTCACCTTGAACAGTATGACGGTATCTAGAAGCATACACAATTGTACTCTTACATTAAATGCAACTTACCCAAAGAATAATACAGAGATTTTTAAATATAAATTACTTTTGCAGAAATGCAATAATTTAGGAATTATATTTCAAGCATTGCTTTATGAATTTTTAAAGATGTAATCTTGCAACTACATCGTTGTGTGCAAATTTTCATAACTTTTCATTACTCTATTCGCAAACACCTTTGCAGCCACGAGTCTATAAAAAGTATGGAGATTTTATGTAGACTATTACTATTAAAACACAATTAAGAAATTCTGAAATATAAAAATGGGTATGCATATTGCCAAAAAGAATTACCAGCAATCCACACCCTCCCACTCCATTCATGGACCTTGGTGCTACAAGTTCAGCTCTGAGGGCTTGAATTTCCTGGTCTTGTAAAACTTCCTGGTCAGCGTCTAGCAGAATTACAAAATCAAAAGATCAGAAATATATATATACAATTTGTAACTGTCTTAAGAGCCATTAAAAGGCAGAAAAAACTTACAGTTAAAACGACTTTTCGATATATACATATATTTATAATATACAAATGACATAAAACAAACCGTAGTAATTTGTAACGTATTCGTGAACGTAGTTTTGTATCACTTTATGTAGCAGTAAGGCATCATCCCTGAAAAAGTACCCCGGTATATCCTGAAAAAAGAAAAATGATTGCAAAATTTTTCTCTCCAAGCCTTGTCAGGCTGAAAATAGAACTCTATATAGATCATAATGAAACGTCCATCTACATATATAGCATGAGAGATTCTTTTTGTTACATTTTACACAAACAATAAAATCACATAGTTTACACTTTTCTTACGTGACCAAAACTTACATGAATTTATATTCTCCCTCACTTTGTTCGTCTGAATATAAATCAATTATATTCTAAGTATCATGAAATAATAATGATAATAATAAAAAAAAAAATAGTATGTTAGTAATGGTGCTAGCTACATGTATAACCTCTTTTCATTTTGCAATAATTTAATTCTGGTTGTAACGCTGTATTTGATTGGATAAAAAAATTACTTTATATCGTATAAAATGGGTCGACTACGTCACAATGACTTGCATCAAAAACGTATCAATCCGCCTGACGTTACATTCAAATTTTGTACAAACTTAAGTCATGTTGTCAGAACAATCATCTTTTTTTCTTACATCAAATGAATGAAAATTAAATTATAAGGAATGAATTTAATAGCTACCCATTTTATACGGTATAAACTGGGTTGGAACAGTTTACGCTTTTTTATAAACCGCTTCGCGGTTTATAAAGCGTAAACTGCCCCCAACCAAGTTTATACCGTATAAAATGGGTAGCTATTTAATTCATTCCTTAATTACATTATATAATTATAGTTACGATTCATTTTATTATAAATGACTGTCTCATCAATTAATTGCAATACATTCAAAAACATAAAGATACATAAAAATACGAAATGCCTAATGTCCGTTACCTTTTTTTATATAAATGTGTATACTCGTAGGTTATAGCGAGATTCTATAATCGAACATGAATGAGCGAGGATATATATAGTACATAATCACGTGATAATGCTGGAATGCAATGAATTTAATTTTATGTCACGCAAAATAATTCTGAAGTCACAAGACTAGATATGAAAATAATATTCAATGACCTACTGTGGTAAGCCCGTTTTTACCTCAAACCCTTCGTACATATATATTTGGTTAGGAAATGTATTGATAAAAACAGGATTAATCTTTTGTGATATGTCTATTATCCACAATATACGGAACAATTCTGTATCATACATGTTAATTATGTAATGAAGAGATTTACCATGACACTTCGCTTGCGGAAGTTATTTTCTATTGATCCATGCTCTTCAAATGACCATTTTTCATTGCTAAATTGAAAAAAGAAAAAAAAAGTAAAAACGAAGAAAAAAATCAATCACGAAGGACAGTTTATTTTTGCCCAGTGCTTATAAAAGTCAGCATTGCACTTTTTATAATTATTCAATAAATATATATTTCATAAAAAAAATAATATAAGAAGACAAGAAGACATTTTTAAACATATTCTATTTTATTCCTTTTATAAGGTTTTCTTTACCTTTTAAAGACTTAATGTTATGCTAAAGCAAAAGTATTCAAAAAACAGATGATTGAGTTTCAGTCTGTATTGTGATCAAATTTATAAAAAGCATAGTGTTCTTGTGAAAATAATGTTTTTTAAATATTTCCTTTAAGCGATCATTAACATTAATTTAAATTGAAAAAATTAATTGGAAATCGTAATTATATATCATTATATACGAATGAACATAATTGTGTTAAGAGCTATTATGTTTTTTACTAAGGAATAACCGTTCTTACTGTTTTGCTAACAATTTCACCATGTTTCTTTGTCCGATGTACATAATTTTATCAATTAATCCTCCAGGATTAATCACATCCAATACAGCCAGTCTGCAATATAACAAAGATAGTTGATATTTAAAGAGATGGGGATTAAGGATAAAGAAGGCACAACAAATCCTTTCATAATTCAAATATCTCTGCTTAAATAGGTGCCTCTAGGAGATTTCCTAATGGAATATTTTAGCACACTGTCTTGCGTAATTACGCGAAAATAAAGTTCTCGCGATTATAAAGTGATTTACAGTATCTTTAAAATTTTAGTATTTTTAAATAAATTGTTTGAGAAGAAAAAAAAACTTACTCATTTATGTAGTGCATGTAGCGGAAATGGGGAAGCATTAGTTTGTATATTGGGTGTCTTTCAGAGAGATTTCTGTGCACACACACACTTACTCCTCCCATCAATAGATGTGTAAAGCCTATTAATATGAAACGCTATTAATCAAATTGCTTAAAGAGGTTGGGTGGTCGTAGCCATTTTTAGGCTATTTTGATCTCCTTTAGAAGAAGAGCTCCATATAAAGATATAATTGAATGATCAAATTTAAATCTAAAATTTATAATTTTTTTCTTTGCCAAATTATAGTTGACAGCTCAAGGTATCAAATCTAAAAAAAAAAAAGTTTTATCTGGTGGTTAATAAATAAAAAACAATCTGTTGCCCCCTAGCCTCCTTAAATGCTCTTAAAAATGTCTAAACAGAGTGGAATTTGCATATTTTTACATCTCCGTTTAAGGCAAATCCCTTGCTTCCTTTCAAAATAAAGACCAAAGAGAAAACATTTAGAGAATTATCAACTTTTCTAAGCCTGTAAATGATATGAAGTCTCCTCCAACGAAGAAATTTGTTTGCATAATCTCTCCTTAATATAGTCAAAATTATATTTCTACATACACTTTTACGGAAGCGGAAACATTAGAAATATATTACCTACATGAGTGATCGATTCATGATATTGAACATCCAACATATTGAACCAAACTCTGCTTTTTACCCACTTTTGAAGTTTGTCTACAGAATCAGAATCTCTCGAAGGTGGAGTATATACCTAAAATCAAATTATTATCACTTTTCACTTTAAACGACTTCATTTTTGTATTATGTATGTCATGTTTCTTGATATATCATTTTCTTAAGATTTACAAAAACACTTTTACATTTTCATAATGTCCCAAAAATGTGAATTAAATTCAAATCCCATTTCTTGTCAAAAAATGGACTATATTGTAAGTCATTTTATTTTCACGGTGGTAAAATTTCACGATATCTAAAAAATTATCGATTGCGATAGTTTTATTGTCACTTGTCTAAATAAATTTGTAATCTTTTTTTTCAATTGATTTTCTTACCACATTGTTATGAGGATTATTGTCAAAACAAATTGCTACTGGCATCAGCAGATTTTTGTACGTTGTGAATAACGCAATAGGAGCTAAGAGCTAAAACAAAAGCAGAAAATAACGAGTGTAATAAAAAAAAAACAGTTACAATGTAAACATGTTCAAATATCATCAAAATCTTCTCTTTTGCGATTTATTGTTATTTGTTTTTTATTTTTCCATCGTTGTCGTCTGTGGTTAATATTTGAACTTTTCTACCTTTTCTTGAATCACTGAAACAACTTTAACAATTTTGGCAAAAAGCAATCATAGTACAAAATGTGAATCTCGTGGTCTTCTGCCCCCCCCCCCCTGAAAATATCAGAAAAAATGCTAGGTATATGATTATGATAAGCAAGGGTTTTCTTTAAAAATAGAGGTTACTGATACCAAGATCAGGGATTCCATTCTGTGCGAGGGATTGGAAGTGGGCTGGTAGTGCTCTTTTTTATATAGGAAACATGTTTTTTATAAAACTCAGGGGTCCTGGTGTTAGATGAGGGTCTCTTTTGAGAATATAGCAAAAGTGTATTATTCCTTAAAATATTCTTCTCTACTTCTGCGAATTTAGCAGATAATATGTTTAGTTTATTCGTTCCTTTCCAAAATTGTGAAATTTAAAAACTATAGAATTAGGGTTCCAGGTGTTTGAGGAGTTGGTTCAATTGATTAAAAAAATAAAATTGCATTATCTTTGGAAAATCCTCTTCTTGTTCATAAGTATTAAGGAGATTATGTGGCAAATCACTTTGTGAAAAATACATTGATTTTTTTAAAGAGCGTTAAAATTGGGAAAGAATTTGTGTTTCCCAATTCCATCTTCAATCAGCACTCGGGACAATTGAGCAGCAATGAAATTTTACTGCGACAGGGACTTCGATTTATATGTCTCATCCAAAGTACAGGTCGCCAGGTCCAAAATTGAATTTTGAAAATGCGACGTAAAGAACGTATCCTTACTCCTTACGAATGCATAATGCAAGGACAATGTCGTAGGTAATGTTAATGAAAAAGATTTAAGACCCGTCTTGGTTAAAGGAATTTTTATGCCCCCATAAACAAAGTTTTTATGCCCACGTAAATAAAGTTTCGGGGGTATATAGTTTTTGTCCTGTCTGTCTGTCTCTTTGTCTCTCTGTTTGTCTGCAAAAACTTTAACCTTGCCCATAACTTTTAATTTAGTGGAGCCATGACTTTCATATATCACGTGTATTTCTTGTAACAAGACCTTTTTTCGGGTACTACCAAATGTGACCTTTTGACCTTGACCTTGGAGTTTGACCCGCTTTTACATGAAAATTTTAAACTTATTCTTTGGCCATATCATTTAAACAGTAGATACCAGGATATTTATACTTCACATATGTATTCTTTGTTGAACGGCCTTTCATTGAATACCAACAACTTTGACCCTTTGACATCGAACTTGTGAAAAAACTTTAACCTTGGCCATAACTTTTGAACGATAAGGTACAGGACTTTAATACTTCATATTTGTAATCCTTGTGAAGAACTTTGACCCTTTGACCTTAATCTTTGAGTTTGACTTACTTTTAAAAAAACAAACCTTGACCATAACTTTTCAAGGGTTAGGGCTAGTGCTTTCGTACTTTGCATATTTGATCTTTGTGACAAGGCCTTTCATTTGATAACAAGACCTTTTACCCTTTGACTCTTTGACCTTGACCTTGGAGTTTTAGCTACTTTTAAAAAAGATTAACCTTGGCCATAGCTTCTGAACTGTTAGGGCTAGGGCTTCCATACTCTGCATAAGTATTCTATGTGGCAAGACCTTTCACTGGATACCAATTACCTTGACCTTTTGACCTAGACCTTGGAGATTTTTGTACTTATTGAAAAAACTTACACATTGGCCTACTTTCAAATTTCACAATTGTTTTCCAATAAGAATGCCCTACTTTTGGTACCAATTAATTATATTTGTAATTAAGGAAAGTCTAATCTTTGCTTTGTTGGAATAGGGAGCATCAGTGTTTCACAAACACATCTTGTTGCTTACTGCTTTTTCTTCTAATTTCCTACAGAAGGTAATAGGGCAAAAGTAAATACTTTATGATGTGTTATGTGTTGGTTTTCTTTTTGTACTACAGGATATTAAAGTTGTAAAAATAAATAAGGTTTTATCATACATGCATCGCAATCAGCATATGTTAACATTATTTTCTATTTTCTTTAAATTATGCCAGAATCTACTTACTGATGGTTCATTCAAAGATACTTCTGTCAGGTCCACAATAAACAATGTTTTATCACATATATGAGCTTTAAGGCACTTTCCTCCCAGATATGGATGGTCATTTTCTATTGTTTTTTCACAATGTGCAAATCTACAAAAACAAAAATGTTTTAATCGCAAAATGTGTTGTGTGGAATACACATGTAGTACAAAACGATTAATTTATATCGTAAATATACGTTTAATAAAAGATTTTTATCCAAATTCATTTTGAAGTAAAACTAAACTGTTGAGGGATTTCTGTCGCTAGTTTGATAAGATTTCGGTTTACACCATTCAGTCTCTGCCATGCAAACCAATGGTCCATTTGAGCTTTTTGTTTCTAAAAGGGTGAAAAAAATATAAAATAAGCATTAAAAGGTGAATTCTATTTAAATAGTTGGTCACTCAAAAAAGAGAGTGAAATAATTTTTTCAAAGTATTATTTCCATGACTAAACATACAGCAGTTTGATTTGGTCCATTTACAGATTCGGTTCTCCACACTTCACAGCCCTGAAAAAATATACAAAATTAACCTGTAATCTAATGAAGAGGAAGGTTAACTGGAAACTACCGTATTTTATTGAAATAAGAACATACAAGGATGATTAAAAAGTTTGATAACTATCTCTATATTTACCAAACCACAATTAATATCAGAAGGAAAATTTATTGATACACATATAGTCATAAACATGTTCTCTAAATAACAGATGTTAATTAAGGCTTTGCAGCATGCTTTTATTGTTACAAAGTGAAAATCACGCCAATATGTAGATGAAATATGACCCATCACAACTTCTCGGGCCTCTCCAAAAACCTCGAATGTATTTCGCAAACATCATGACAACCAACTTTTCACAAACTTTAAAAAAAGGTGCAGAGACCTCCCTTCTGTGGAGTATATAACTTAACTTTTAAAAATGTAGTATTATTTCCTCAAATATACGAAAGAATGGACATTCGACTCCGTCCATCTTATACTTTTATAAGTAGGAAGTGACTCCATGTTATATGATTTTTAACAACCAGTGATGTCAATACCTTCGAGGTTGTTTTTTTTTACCTCTGGCGGAGAGGCCCGAGGTGATGCGATTGGACTTGTTACAAAACATGGTTGATTCAGTTGTACTCGAGCAAGGAATGGCTGTAAAGTTTAACGTACCCAAGTATATCTTCTAAATTCTTTCACAGAAGCATATATAACTTTGTACAAAGTTAACGGAGACAAGGATCACTGCCAGAATTCAATCATTATTGGATATTGAACATCAACTGTTTGAGTGAAGGAAGGACAATGATTTAAATTGATTTTAGTTCCGGTGCCCTGTGAAAGTAAGCTTTGAAAAGGAAATATGGCCAAACTTCCGCATTTTTTAAAAATAAAATTTTGTCAAGTTGCAAGGGTGTTCAATAAATAATGCATAATTTTATCTAAAACTAAGATAAAAAAAAAAAAACCGTTTTACATATCCTTGCTAGCCTCAAGACATTCCCTGTTTCCCTCTATACATGTCATAGGTCTTTGTACCCATAAACAGAAATCCTCAGCTTTGACAGTGTCTTTCAATGCAAATCTAGTATTAACAGATACATGTATCATATGGTGCACAGCACCGATATGTTGTTGTGTCCCCACAAATTGCAATCGACCAGTTTGGCTCTTATATTTTTCTTTTTTTTTTTTTTGAATCATTGAATTTATCTTAAAAACTAAACTTAAATATAATTTTCCACATTCAAAAATTATATCTTTTATATAGTTTCTTTAGTGATTAATGCAAAAGGTACATTTTTCACAAACATTCTCATTTTCATCCTCTTGGGACAGAATTTATAGGAACGGTTTTTAGCTCATGATCAGTGTAGTGTCCATGTGAACGTTAAATGTTAAGATTTTGGCCATTTGGTACATACTTATTATGAAAAATAATCTGCTTCGTAAAATATAAGAGTCGGAGAAATGTTTTAGCTTCTGTGAACAATACGGTATAAAGCATATCACGCGACCACCTAAATCAAGCGAATCGCGGATATGCAATCAAATCTTAAATATGGGTTTAATAGAAGTGTTAAAAGTTTCTCTAAATCCAAAATATCAATGAAAATAGACATCTGATTTAGAAGAAATCATGCAGTAAACATGTTTAATCAAGACAGATGTGCGTGAAAACAAGGTAGATATAAAAAATAGGATGTACATTTTAAACATTTCTTTGACGAAAAACCCTTTTTTATATATATCTGAAAAATGGAAAAATTAATGCAATCAGCGAAATTTTTCATCACTTTTTATAAAAAACAAACAAAAAGATCATTAAACTTTTGAAATAGAAATGATAAATGATTGAACAGTTATTTTTTATTTATGTCAAAAAAGAATTCTGTTATAAAACTAAAATTTAATTTCACTGATAATCACTTACTGATAATGTCTTCTTGACTTAAAATTTCATTTTTTTATATTGTAAATACGTTGTAAAAACGTGACTTTTGAGAGAGGGGGATCAGTTAATTTTATACATTCTTCTTATATGAGGGTTGTTTGAAAAGTTCTCAGACTCCTGTCATATGCTTTCCAACTGTCGTAAAAATATTTTAAAAATAAATTCATATAATTTGTTTTAAAAATTTTAAAATTATCACATTGTATGATGTTTTGATTCTATTTCAAGATTTCAGCTGTGTGTCGTCTTATACATTGTAGTAAGACCTGAATAAGGCATTCAGTTGCGGAAATTAAGTAATTCACAAGCAACCATAACAAAATGAAACATAATGAGAGAGAGGTCTTAAAGGTGGGGGAGTTATATTACCGGTAAAATTTAACCAAATAAACCAATAGACTTTTAATATATATTTGATTATAATCGTATTGGTCAACAAAAACCTGTTACAGATTAACGAACCTTGTAACGCCTCGGTGAAACATATTCCAAATTCCAAATTAATATTTTCCTTTGATAAAAAGAGATCAATTTGAGAAGATATTAAGTAGTACTTACTGAAATCGACAAAAATGATGACGTTGTTGAACGTCACAGAGCAGCAGATAACGATACAGTTTTGTGTAGCACGCGGGAAAAATCCTTAATAAACTCTAACAATTTTAAAGGAATGAAAAAAATGTCACAAATAAGTCGTGCATGTGTTTTTAAATGGTACAGGCTGTATTTAAATGACAAAGACCCTTTATCGGGGAAAGACAATCTATGAAGAAGGGTTTATCTGGTACAATCTGAACAAAAACTTTGAAAAGTTGGAACGCCATGGAAAAACATACATTAATTAGCGCTTCAGAATTACTGATCTTGTGACAGCACAGTTAAGTTGTTAAGAGAAAATATAACATTCAGAAAGGAAATCATGCAACGAGAACAATTGTTAGAAAAATAAAAGGGAAAAGCTAGAAAAGGGTTTTTAAGAAATGAATATTGAACTATACTGTGTGAAATGTATATAGATATATAAGGATAGTATTTTGAAAATTCTTGACGATATGTTTTTGACATGATATTGCCGGTAAGTAGGCTCCGTGGTTACAAAACATGTTGATTTTGAAATGAAGTAAATGAAGTTGATTTCTATTATATCGAATGTGATGAAACTTCAAACATTATTTCACCAAGACCGATAAATACGGCTGATAGAGAAACGAATTAGGTCACCATGTCTCGATTACGCTGTTCTATTTAACACCAAAGGTAAAATTTGTTTGCTTACCTGTGTATGGAAATCCGAATGCAGACGATCTGAGCTTTCGTTACATTAAAAATAGCCTTTTTTAAATTACAAATTTGTTCGTTATCTGTATTGATCAGTTAAAACGAATATACAATAACAAAATCATGTTCCTGTTTTACTGCTAAAATCACGTTGTTTAATGCGTAGGGAGGTTTAATTACTTTGCAACTTTAAAATTTACAGTGTTTATTTCTTACAAAGACGACACATCGATGCTGTCTAAACAAGTATTTCATTCTACAGCCAAACATGCATTTGAATTTTTTAAAGAACTATATGCGGTATATTGCATATGTTTGCCCCCACAAAAGTCAAATTTTGAAAACTTCCTGAAATGTGCTGAATTCAATAAATTGTACAAAAATAAGTTAACAGAAAATATTATAGTTGATGTATTCACAATTTTGTTTTGCCATTTTATATCCTTTTTCAGAAAATGGACAAAATTTCAACAATTTAAGCTTTAGAATTTATACATGTGTGTTTTGAATATTTCATTGATATTATTTCAAATTTCTATTAATCCTCACACATGCGTATGGAAATATGTACAATTTTCTGCAAAATTCATAAAAAACTGAAATTTATATATTTGTGACGTCATTACGTACATATATTTACTTATGAAATTATTCAGCTTTGATAGCATATACTCCCCTGTTTAAGGACTTAATTAAATATTACTCCAAAAGTTTGATTTTGGGGGACAAATGTTGTTGTGCATATAGTTCTTTGTTTATCTAACTTAATTTTATGATGACCAACAATTTTTTGCTTTGATGTTTTGAATAATCGTGGTAGAATTTGAAATAAAGTATATGAAGTTGATTTCTATTATATCAAATGGTTTCCATCAACATATACTGACACGCATAAAACATGTTAAAAGCATAATATGCGAAAAAATTTGACAATGTAACCAAGATTATGGATATTGGTCAGATGTGTATTTTATTTAATTTGCTAAAATCACTTCAAGGAATGTATGGCGTCTGTTCATCATGATACCTCGGTTCGGTTATTATCCAGATATTATCACTGAAACCGAATTTTATACAGCAGGCAATCATACTCACCCTAATACTGACAGAAACTCTGCTATAATTTGGTGCGCGAGCTTGTCAACGTTACGCGCATGTAATATTTTAGCATGTTCACACAGGGAAAATGTAGTCAGTGTTTGTCGAGACTTTCTTACAAACATTCACGTGTAACAAACCAGCTGGATACTGTAAATTCTATCTTAAATCGAAAATTCGTCGGATTCATTGGGCGAGGGATTTCTTGGCTTTGGAATAATACAGCTACTCTCGTCCATTAAGACAAAGCTTGAATTATAATCGCATGAGAAAGATAAATGCTCCGGTGAACTCAGTGCACAGGAATATCAATGCTGTAACTAATGCACAATGGAGATTATGAGAATTTTGATTTTGATTTTTTTTAGGGGTGGATATCGATATATCAGTTTCAATAATTAAGGAATTATCAGTCAAAATCACACAAGATTTTGGTAACTTGCTGATTAATTTTGAAGTAAAATGTTTTATAACAATACTGGAAACATATTGGAAACAACAGTTTTAATTTAATTCAAAATTTACTATGCGTTTCTTTTTCCTTTCAGTATATATTTTTTCCAGTGGTTATGTGCTTATTTTAAATCTCTTTTTGAATAACCTTCTAGGAATATTTAATGAATTTCAAGACAAACACTGTTCTCCCTTACCTTTGGTTCTTCAAGTACACAGGAAGATGTAAAATGACTGATCATTTGGCGAACAGTCCATCCACCACGATGACAAAATTGTAAAACAGTTCCATAGAGAAAGTAAAATAAGGTATGGACATAATATTTCATCTGAAGGAAAAATTTGATTGTGTAAATATCATACGTGTTTATGGTATTTGTAGTATTTTCTGAGAATTATCCGACCGTTCAAATATGATAAAATAATTCACAATGGTAAATCTTGCTTGAGAAAAAACTTAAGCATTTTAAATCGAAACTTACCATGGAAAAAGTTGTCCACCGTTCTTCTTTTGGAAGTTTGCGAAGCTAATGAATGCATTTTAGAATTATATATTATTCACGTCAGAAAAAATCTATTTCCGACATTTCTTCCTATATTGAATTTTCTTGAGAGATGAAAAATTCCTTTCTTCAATTTCTGATTGACATTTAAACATTAATGAAAATCACTTGAAGAATGAATAAAAAAGGAATATTGATTCATTTGTAAATTAAAATAATATGTTATATAAACAAAATAATATCACATGCATGTTCAAAGTATGTTAATATTTCTGTCATCAAAGCTAAATAATATTTATTAAAAGGCAAAGGAGGTGTACTTATAAAAATATATTTGAAAAATATATATCTGAAAAAAAGTCAAATACTCACCATTGGTGGAACATTAACAATATTAATTTCCCGCTGAACAACATCAGATAATCCGAATGTCTTCTGCTCCAGTTCATAAATCTCCCTAGCCTTTTCTAGTTTTTGATTTCTAGATTGGATATCTTGATCATATTGTGGCAGCGATGGAAGTTGCTCGTGCACGTTGCCCAATTTCCGAAATAATCTTTTGACCTTATTGTGACAAAAATTGTTGTCAATGGTTACTAATTACTATATACTGTGATAACTTAATTACAAATGTCATGCCATATTTGTAAGTAATAATAATCTTCATAAAAATCTTTGTAAAACGAAAAGTAACTTCTTCTACCTGCATTGGACAAAATTGATTGAATTATGTCCAGCAATTTATACTCTTAATTATACCTTAATATAGAAATATAATTGTTAATGAATTCGGTCTTCAAAATGCGTTGTTTTTTTTTTCTTGAATATTTTACAGAAAAAGAATTCCATATGAAATAATGCAGATTATCCTTTTGTTTAATTGTCTTCTTTTTAAGAACTTCTTCTTATAACTTATAATTCTTATCCTTTCCTACATTGGAAATATATCATCAAAAAATTAGTAACCTGCATGCAATTTTCATAAATTCACAAATTTTAATTTTCTTGTAAATCATAATATCTAGATATTTTTTTTAAGTTAAAGTATTTATAAGACCTATAGTCATAATTTTATCAAAATGAAAATTGACAACTTTTGAGCATCCATGTCCTTTCGTCGTTCGGTGTCACACAAAATATATGTATGGCCCGCCTCGTTTAAAGCTCGGCGGAAGAAATGCAAAAAAGTATAGTATAAAGTCCAGTTTTCATATATACGTAAAAATTCCACCTAATAAAGAAAATGCACGACCTGTTTAATAGAGGTATGTCTATAGTAAAAGGTCCGATATGCAAATTATTCAACAAAATAAATTACAATGGTAAATCTAGTTTTAAAAAAATGATTTATTTTAAATCGAAACTTACAAGGGATAAAGTTGACCATTGTTCTTCTTTTGGAAGTTCGTGATGCTACAAATTAAGGAATTTTAGAATAGCATATAAGGTAATAAAAGTGATATTAGTGTATCTAACATTGTTTTTTGAATAAAATTTATCATAAGAGATGAAAAATGATCTTTTTTTAATTTCTGATTGACATTAAAACATCAATAAATTCATTAAAAATACATGTATTCACAAAAGAATAAGTAAAAACAGTTAGGATTATCAATATTATCTTAATTTTAAAAAATACATTATAGGGAAAAAAATCATAAGCATGTTCCAATAATGTTTATAATTTCTTTTATAGAAAATAACTTACATTAGGTATAAGGCAAAGGAGATGTATTTATAAAAACATATATTTGCATCTAATCCTGAAAAAAAATAAATCCAAATTAAATATACTCACAATTAGCGGATCATTTACAATATTAACGTCCCTCAGTACAATCTCATCTAGTCCGAATGTCTTTTGCTCCCTAGCCTTTTCTAGTCTTTGGGTTCTAGATTGCTGGTCATGTTGTGGTAGTAATGGTGGTTGCATTTGCACCTTGCCCATTTTCTAAAATAATTTCTTGAGCTGATTATAACAAAATTGAATTATGCGAAACAATTTATATCCTTGTCGATATCAAAATTTAGTACAGGAAAGGTGTAATTAATTCAGTCTCAAAAAATCCAGTTCAGCTCCATTACAGGTTTTTTTTATTCTTGTAAACTACTTTCATTGAAAGAAGCCCCAAGGATTCAAAGCTCGTCTTATTTTTTGCGGTTTAAAATGTTTAAATTTGAAATTTGCGATCTATAGTTAGAGCAAAATTGAATAATGTCCGGCCACTTGTACCTTTATTTATACCTAATTATTGAAATATAAATATGTTAGTGAATTTGGTCTTGGAAACTTATTGCTTTCTGTAGAATATTTTCATTAAAAAGGATATCCATATGAAATCACACTTATAGCCATAATTTTACAAAACTTGAAATAAAAACAATTGAGCAGTCATATACTTTTCAAGCCCGGTGTCGCATAAAATTTGGTCCGCCTCGTTTAAAGAACAGAGGAACTAATACTGTAACGTTCAGTTTTAGGTCCGGAATTCATATATAAGACAAGGTTCAACCTATTTAAGAAAATGCACGGCCTGTTTAAAAGATGATCTGCCTATATATAAGGGTTCTGATTTGCAAATAATTCAACAATATAAATTACAATGGTAAATCTAGTTTGGAAAAATTTATTAATTTTACATCAAAACTTACAAAGGATAAAGTTGACCACCGTTTTCCTTTTGGAAGTTTTCGAAGTTACAAATGAACAAATTTTAAGATTATATATTAGCTTATTAAAAAAAAAGACAATGCTACATCCCACATTCTGTTCTATGTAAAAATTTTTATAAGAGATGGAAAATGCTCTTTATGCTATTTCTGACATTTACATATCAATCAAAATCATCAATATACGTGGGTTGTCCAAAAAATTCGTGGACAATGACGTTTTTGTTAAAATAAATGGTTCTGTATAAATGTATTGTATATCAAAATATTTCTTATGAAAAACTAAGTCAGAATGATTTAATTTTTATTGATGGAACTTTATATTATTGTAAAAACAAAAAAATAGGGGTCTTCAAAGGTCGCAGATAGTGCGTACGGGCCAGTCTGACGTCAAGCTAATTTCATTATAACGTCAACATTTGGATTTTGAATTTAACACATGTTCATGGATAGACACTGCATTTTTTTAGGCTTCCAAGTGCTATCAATTAATAATCTTTAAGTATAAATTATATTTAATTGAATTTTTAAATTTAAAACAATGGACAAAAATTTTCGAGCGTCATCTTTATAATCAGTTTGTATAAACAAACTGCACAGCCAAACGACGCTGCGCTAGATTTATGACAACGTCATGAACAGAAACCTCCATTTTAAGCAAATTAATGGTATTTCTAAATTCTTTTAGTGTCTTTGAATTTGTACACACCGTTGAAAAATCGTATATACCAATCTCAAATCAATAAACTAAATATATTTAAATGATTTGGGGTTGTTTTAACAAATAGTTTGTCTCTTACGTCCTTTCAACCGTTCTAAAACAAATTTTTTTGATTGGACGCTGCCCCGTGCGGACGGCAGACGTCGCTTTTTCTGTCGAGTTTTGACACATACTTGTTACGAGTTTAGTTTAGTATTTTCAATGTCTATATAGTAAGCGATACTTTAGATATCAGAAAGCGATTATAGCCTCTTTATTCATGTTACAAATAATTTTCATTAAGTTTTGACTTGTTATATACAGAAAATAATCATTTTAATCCGAACAGTTTATATCCCAGTTTATGGCATTTTAACATTGGTCCGTGCACACTATCTGCGACCTTTAAAAACCCCTATTTGTACAAAAGTATAAAGTTTTATCGATAACAATTAAATCAATCTGACTTGGTTTTTCATAAGAATTAGAACCATTTATTTTAACAAAAACGTCATTGTCCACGAACTTTTTGGACAACCCTGGTATATACAGAAAAATCAGTAAAATAAAGAGAAATAAATAATTTTAAATTTTAAAAAATATATAATTTTGAACAAAAAATTAGCACATACATGTATATGTTCCAATTTTGTTACTATTTTTGACATCGAAATTAAATTACATTTATTAATAGGCAAGGTAGATGTGCCTTTAAAAATTGTTGTATCTAATACTGAAGAAAAAAACAAATATACTCACAATTAGGGGATCAGAAAGAATAATATCTTCTTTCTGTACAATAGCAGTTGGTCCAAATGTGTTTTGCTCCAGTTGTTTATAAATTATAGAAAAGCATCTATAAGACCAATAACTATGAATTCAGCGAAATTAAGCACACATGTACTTTCGACGTCCGGTGTTGCAGAATATTTGTTCCGCCTCGTTTAAAGTTCGGCTGAACAAATAGGATAAACTATAGTATAAGGTCCGGCATTCATAAGGTAGGATGTAAAGACGCACAGAAAAATGACCCTTCTGTCCTTACAAATAGTGTCATTACCGTAAAGATTTGCATACCCCACGTGAGGAAAAATGACTCCTGTAGAATAATGAGCCCTTGTGGATTTAACTTGAAAATTTAATTTTTAGGGGGCAAAAATATGAATAAATAAAATAGAGGTACTGTGAACAATGAACTTACTAAATGATAACCCTGCTCCCATATGGATTTAATGGCAGTGTCCATGTTTTGCTATGGGGAACCTTAAATATGTGTCGGATCAAAAATGTGAAATAAGAGTTATATAAAGGCATTTTGTAATAAAGATACTCTGAAAGTCTAATACTCCATATAGTGGTATAAGAGGAGTTGTGGATAAGAGAGATGGGTACACCAGAGATTAACAGATTGACGGACGTACCTGTTACTATATACCCTCCCGTTTTTCAAGCACGGGAGTACAATAAATAGACCTTTTGGCAAAAAAAAAATGCTCTCGTGAGCTTAATTGGGGATAAATTGATGATAAATCGATATAATTTCTAAAATGATAAACATTGTTTTTCTCGATGGTTAAGAATCATCGTATTGACAGAAAAATGCAGCAATATTATATATTACCAAATATTATTATAATATTTCAAGTGGGGTTATATAATAGTGATCGGGATGTCCGTCCGTTTGTTATAATTTGGGTTACCTATCTCTTATCAGCATAGTTACAAAACTCCTCATATAAAACCGAATGAAATTCAATGAGACTTTCAAATAATCTTTGTTACAAAGTGCCATAGTGTACTTTTTCTTTACTTTTTGATCGGAAACACATGTTGGATTTCACATAGCAAAACATGACTACTGCCATTTTTATGCACCCGGATCGGAAGATCCGAGGCGTATATTGTTTTTGTCCTGTCTGTTTTTCTGTTTGTCTGTTTGTCTGCAAACTTTAACCTTCGCTATAACTCTTGAACCATGAATGGTTGAGACTTCATATTTTGTATGCATACTCCACTAATTAAGCTCTTTCAAATGACACCAAGGTCAATGACCTTGTGACCCTGACTGTGACCTATTTGCTAAAAATAGTTTTTTTTCTGCAAACTTTAACCTTCGCTATAACTTTTGAACCATAAAAGATAGAGACTTCATATTTGGTACGCTTACTCCACTAATTAAGCTCTTTCAAATGACTCCAGTCGCCAGCGTGGCGCAGTGGTTAGAGCGTCTGCTCTAGAGTCGCGAAGTAAGGAGTCAATCCTTACGTCGCGGGTTTGAATCCCACTGCGGGACGTGGAGGCCGGTCCTTCGGATGAGACCGTATAAACCGAGGCCCCGTGTCGCAGTAGGTGCTGGCACGAAAAAGACCCTTCACTGCTCAATGGCCGCCAGTGCCGGGTAGGACAAAATTTGCAGCCCTCCACCGGCAAGTGGTGGCGTCTCCATATGAGTGAAAAATTCTCGAGAGGGACGTTAAACAACATACAATCAATCAATCAATCAATCAAATGACTCCAAGATCAATGACCTTGTGACCTTGACTGTGTCCTATATGCTTAAAATAGATTTTTTGAACATTCACCATAACTTTTGAACAATGAAAGATACAGACTTCATATTTGGTATGCATACTCAACTAATTAAGTTCTTTCAAATAAAACCAAGGTCAATGACCTTATGACCATGACTGTGATCTATATGCTAAAAATAGATTTTTTTACTTTGTTGCCGCCGGGCGCATAGTGTTTCACAAACACATCTTGTTTTCTATACTATTGAAGAGTTATTAAGTACTCATCTCTTATTCGCAACTCCTTCCATACCACTTATAAAATGTATTAATACTTTTACAGATTCTTTATTAAATAATGGCATTGTGCACCTACTATTTTACTTTATATGATCTAATGCTCATTTCATCTTCCCCAGAGCAAAGCATAGACTTTGCAAATATGATCAGATGAGAGGCATGGGATGTCACTTAGTGGGATCAATGCACATTGTAACTCTAGCTACTTTAAATCTTGTTTTATTCCACCCCTTTACTCTGTTTTATGTATATTTTTATAGTTTAATATGAAAATCAAAACATTTTATTATCATTTTGTAACTTTTTTTTTCATACTAAAACAAAATAAATATTAATTGGAGACCATTACTTCTTATTATACATGTTCATACTTCGCACATGAACCCAAAAAGCATCAAAAAACCGTTCAAAACTGGAGGTACTGTGAGTATGAGCTGTGTCGTACATTGTATGTGTTACATTAAAAGTTTAAATCTAAAGTTTAAACTTATCTATAACTACAATGTATCTATGTAAACATGTTGAAAAGATATTCACAAGTACAAAATATGAATTCTTATCACATACACTGTACCTTTGATTTAATATGAAAGGCAATACAAGCTTCATGTTCCTTTCTTTTTCTTCCCTTTTTAATGATTACATGCTTATTATTATTATTAATTTCACAATTACCAGATGTTTAGAAAGCCTTGATCAGAAAATGGAAACATGGTAGCTGTCAGTTTAAACAAAGTGTAAAGAAAGCATAGAAATTATCGCAGATCA